CATCAAATTTTAGTCCAAAAGAACGAGGCCTTACTTTAACAAAAAAAAAAGTGAGAAGGACGTAAGGAGCGAAACAAGAATTTATTACTTCCTTTGTTTTTTATACTTGCAACACACCTTTTATCACGCTTTTTGAGGAAGTGATTAGATTTGGTAAACGAATGAATTAATCTATGAAATTTAAACCTTAGCAAATTATCCCTTTTTTTATCGGTGGTGCATGAAATTTTGTGAATTAATTTATCCATTTACCTAGTCTAATATCTTTCTTAAAATACGTGTCAAAGGGGTGTGTTATAAGTAAATAAAAACGGAGGACGTATATAGGACTATATAGATAATATATAATTTATTTATATCTTTTACAATATCTTGGACATTCAGATATTACTAAAGTTAGATATTTTCCGGAATACACATATCAGATTTTCGATCACCAACAAATATCAATGTAATTATGAAAGAAGGTTGAAAGCATAAAGATTATTTTTAGAATTAAGTTCCATCGTTGATGATTTGATAGCGACACAGCATATGTAGAATTTTAAATCACTTTCTTGTTCACTGATTAAATTATTAAACTTGCATGAACCCCACACTATGTCATAAAAACAACAATTAATAAAATCCTGTATACTATTTAGAATCTTTTCTACTACATATACTTACTACCTTCAATTTTTTAAGATTACCACCATTTGACATTTTAGGTTTTCTCACAAAACTCTACATTCCTATTTTGGTAATTGTTCCCTACCATTTATTCTACTTGCATATCCTCTAACAATTAAAAATCTACTTGCAAAACTTTTACTTACTTAAATTTTGATGAAGTGAAAGTTGAAGAATCAGCTTGTATGCAACAAACATGGAGTGTACACTTACAAGCAAGATTATTAATACTCCCTCTGTCTCTAAATAATGTGCTCATTATTTGTCTAGCTACCTTAATTGGTAAAAAATGATTAAGAAACTTGATTTTAATTTGGACAATGGGGCCAATGTTTAAGCTTTTATTCAGAGATAAAGGGAGAGTGATGTTGTATTCTTAAACTAATAATGTCTACTCTTCTGTACTCTTTAAAGGGGGTATTATGATGTATTCTTAAACTAATGTCTACTCTTCTGACTTCTTCACTTACTATTAGAATATGCCTTAAATTAGTTAGACCTCTTCGAACGACTATCACGTGATAACTATTATGTGGACTACATTTTTTTTTGGGCCTGTTTTTGACCTGTTTTGTTTATGTTTTGTGAGTAGGCCTTGTTCTTTTGAACTTATTTTCTGTTTAATTTAGCTCAACTCAATTCATTATTTTACTTCACATAATTATATTTAGGTCAAATGAATAGGGTCTTAGGGTTTAACCTAGCCACTAGTGTAAATTATATTATCTTCAATTCATAACTATACTCATATCTGATTGTACTGTGAAAGTAGCTGACTCATCGTGACCACAAAAATATGTGTTCTTATTTGTTGTTCTTTTTTTAAAAAAAAAAAAAAAAAAAAAAAAAATTCTTGCATCCGTTATAAGTAACACTTGTCATATTTATCAAATGAATTCAAAAATTAGAAAATTGGTACTTTTTAGATTTTTTTATTTAAACGTGTTTGGGTCTAGTCCATGTCCTAAGCTCCGTGACCTAAAATGACGAAAATATCCCTCTATGATCCAGCCCATCATTAATCATTACAAAGTGCGGATTTGCCCCTAATCTGTCCAACTAAGTACAACTTGGCCACCTGAAAGTACAATTATAAATAGCTCTCCAATCATTACTGGTGGTAACTTTTTCTAATTCTCTCTGCTTCTCTCTCTACTTTCTCTCTCTAGATAGTATTCTCTCTACCTTTTCTCTCTGAAAGTGCAATTTACTGACTTAAACATCAGAGGGGCTTTCCCTGGTCACACCCTCGGGGCAGCTAACCTTCTCTATTTTGCAAACCGAGTCCTCAAACATCAAGTCGGAGCTCTCAGACATACCTTTGCAAAGCGGAGCTTTCAGACTTTTGAACAATTATTAGACACAGACTTTAGGACATCTTGATATACCCGAAATACCCTGACACGCTTGGGAGAATTCTGTTTCCAGAAACAAAACGTATGCCATGTAAACAACACTTAATTGACAAGGTGAAAATACAAATGAACACGACTCGTTAACCCGAACTATAAGCTCTAGGTCGGATGCGAATATGCGATTATTGATTAACCCAACTTCTTGGACCGTTCATTCCGTGTGCATTATTCTAGCTCCAGTTGGATGTTGTACATGCTCCCTTTATTTGAAAACAATGATAAATTCCAGGAGTTTCTTTTCACATTCTTTCTTCACCAATTTTCTCGGAAGAAAGTTGACATTTTGTAATGACAGATTGACAGTTAATATTTGTCACCCCTCAAATCGTCAACCGTTATATTTTGGTTTCGCACAAGAAATCATAAACTAACAAAGAAAAAATAGCAAATTGTTTGTTGATATTTTATTTTTTGCAATTCAGCTAACATTTACGACAAATTCACTAACATCATCGATTTTTATTGAAAATGAATGACTAACAAATGAACAACGTAGCATTTTGAAAAAAACTAAATGTCACTATTGTTAGTTAGGGTATAGTGACATTATTGTGTAGTAAATATCTAGAATTTTAGATAGTACAATACGGGCATTTTTGGCACTTTAGATTTTACTCATGTTTGATGTTAATGGGATATTATTGATACTCTAACTCTTCATATTAACTTTTGAGTTTCTTAGGTATTTGAAATTGTTAAGAATCAAAATATAATCCAATCGTTGTGACTCTTGTGAGTATTGATTGTCCTTTCCTTTTCTAAGAAAAACTTTGTATTTGACTTTTATTGATATATTTTAGAAAACAAAAAACCTTGGTGTTCTTGTTATAGTAGTCTTCTGTATCATTAATCAGGTGTAATGTCACATAATCATAATTATAGATTTTCTTCATTTTAGCGTCAAATAGATTTTGAACTTTTATCTTGATTTTTACTTTATATTTCGGAAACTAAACCAAAACACAGATTGAATAAAATTCATATTAAAAAAAAAAAAAAACAAAAAAGACCCAAACTAAATTAAATTGCTATAACAAAGAGTTTGGTTTGCAATCTGTTGCATTTTGTTTCAATCACCCAAACAAACAACGGCTAATATAATTGAGAACAAATTTAAGGTCATTGAGAAGTTAAAAAAAAAAAAAACAAATTATACATGCATCATATATATTGATATGAAAGGAAACATAAATTGACTTATTGCTAATTGCATAGGTATAAGCGCATAATAATCGTTGGCAACAAGTTTACAGCACCAAAAAGCAAACAATGTGATATGAAAAAAGTCAAGCACATCCCAAAACTAAGGAATAATTGTTTTTTTTATTATTTTATTTTTTGTGTAAAAGTCAATGATAGTTTGATTGTCTTTTTAGTTATGCTACATCGTAGTCAAACTTAGCTTGATGATTTTTCACTATAATTTGAACGTAAAGTTTGAAGTAGCTATTTTATAAGTAAATTACTATGAAGCTATCATAAACTATGAAATCAGAACATATACTAGTAGTTAAGTTTAACCGGTCATTATTTGTTTAAGTTATGATATTTAATAATCATAAGTTGAGAAAAATAAATAACCATATGAATGCTTCATTATTATTATTAGACCCATGCATACTTACAAACATAAACTAGTAAATAAGTAAGAATAAATGGCCTAAAGTATGAATAAGTAGTGAGGTGTTAAAAACCAATCCGATTTAGATTTCATTGTATGACTACAAATCTACAATAACTTAGTATGATGACTTGACCTGATTGAACCTGCCTCAGTCACACAAATTGACACCGCACTAACATCTACTTGTTGAAATCTAAATTATTTAACCTAAATTAAACCCGTCCCAACTACACCTGATTGAACTTGTCTCAATCACATAAATTGACACCGACTAACATCTACTTGTATCATACATTGTTACCTAACCTCTTTGACAAATATCCAATGTACCAAGAATATGGGCACTATCAAAATTGATTTTAGAAGTTCCTTACTAGTAGAGTACCAAAAATTTATTCTCTTATAGAATGAGTGACAAAACAACTTTTATTATGTCTAAATCATTTCCCAAAATGACTTTGTATGTAACAAACTAACCTAATAACCGTTTTAATTTTATTAACTAACCTTATTTACCTATTTCAAAATTATTTAACTCAAACCCAAATTGTAACCAATAAAATTAGGTCTTGGCATTATCTAAAATTGACCCAATCAAACCTATAAGAATATTTATATGATCAAGATTAAAATTAATCGTCTTTTATTTCTTAACTAACAATGAGATAAATAAACTTATCCGGAGCTAAATAATATATTAATAACCCGAGTTAAAATACTACATCCGTTTCTTATTATTTACAACAAAGGAATTTTGTATGTTTCACGAATAATACTCCTTTTTTAAATTAATAAAAAAACGGAGGTAGTAACACAGTCAAAACCCAATAGATAAAATCCCCGGTCATGCCACTCTCCTTCTCCAAAGTCCAAGATTACCCATAGCATGATTTAAATCTTCTTGTTCAAAGTAAAAATAATCACACAAAACATTGCAAAAAAGGCTTTGAAGAACTCAACCAAGATAAAGGAGTAAATAGAAATATGGTGGGCAACCTAAAATGAAATCAAATCAAAGTCCAATGAAAGAGATTATACACAATAAAATTAAGGGAAGAAGAGGAGGTTAGGCGTCACATTCCGAAATAAAGTAAAGTTGGTTCACGTGTTGAGTAATGTAGAGAGCGTGCCGCATGTGCTTGCTTCAGAACTTGTTTTAATAGTTAGTCCCCCCCAATTTTATTAATTTCATTTTTTACAAAATAATTTAATTATTTTAATTGATGATAATATAAATATTATAAAATATAAAATCATGTCATATTCCCTCTTTCTTCTCACCCTCCCTCTTTGGCTCATCTCACGGATCTTGCCTTCCTTTTTCCACAGCCTTATCTTTCTTTCTACTACTATTTTTTTCACTTTTTTTATAATTATATTTTATTTTTTAACAAAATTTATTTTAATTAATTTTGGAATTTTTAAATAAATGTGAGAGGTGGGGCTATTACATATCTTGGTATATATAAGACCCATCTTGAAGAACTGATGAGAGGTCAGTCCGTATTACTAAAAAATAAAAATCGTCAAAACATCATCTCTTTATCTATATTGTCAGCAAAGAAAAAGCATAATATAAATTCGTTCTTATATATTATTCACAAAAAAAGAAAAAGAAAAAGAGAATATGGCAGCATCTTGGGTTAAAACAATCACTTCTCCTTTCAAAAAAGCTTGCACCTTTCTTAACCATCAACCTCCTAAGGATAAGAAATCCAAGCAAGGTACTACATCTTTTTTCTCTTTCTTTTTTTTAGTTTCTTATGTATGTTGATTGCCTCGGCTTGACAATTTGTTACCACGGTGGTATAATTTGAACTAGTGATGTGATAACTAAATTTGAATATACTGTATAGATGGTTAGATCAGTCCTTTCGTGTAATATGAAATTTCATTATATAATTGAGCTAGTATCTAGGATTATATTTTTGTTAGGATAGATTAGTTATTTGATTGGATTAGTAATTAATTCCCCTCATGTTGTTAAAAGTGCTCGATTTTAAAAAAAATTCATTTTATTATGAGTTCTATTGAAAGGGTAGGTGAATGTATTTTCTATGGTATAGCGGGTAGTAAATAAAGTAAAAAGAAATTGTGCCGACATAACTAACGAAATTGGAAACAAGACAATCTTGTAAAGACTGTATAAAATATCACAGTTTTTAAGAAACACAGGGAGTATTAATCTTGACATATCAATGAAATTAGGATCAACCACAAAGTATCTATATTGATTTACAATAATTTCTAACCTTATCCAACCAATAGAAAAATAATTTACTCTTGATTTGTCATTAAATTAATTTGTGATTAATCATGCTTAATTTTTACTATAATTGTAAATTATGAAGTATTATTATATTATTATTTTATAAAAATGGAATATGAATCTAATTATTTTTCTTGGCAAATGATTGAATGAACAGAAAATGAAAATACAGTGATGGCCCTACATGGAGAGGTGATGGCATGCACATACGAGGATGTCCAGGTCATGTGGTCTATGTTAGATAAGTCCAAAACTGGAGCCTGCAATATGACTTCCTGACTCCAATCTATTGGGCCTCAAGTTGGGTTCTCTTATTCATACCCATTTGGGCCCACTTCCTTTTATTGGCCCATTCACCTTGGCATTTGTGTCCATGTAGATAATATGTTATTTTGGATAATGCTATGGAGAAGCCAATTTATTAAATTCAAAAAAAAAAGAATTATGTGTAGTACTACAATTTTTTTTTCTTAGTATATAGGAGTATGGTTATTTGCCATCCCCAATGGCTTCACCATCAATTGGAAAGCTCAGGGTCTTTTTCATTTTTTATACTCCTATTTTGTAATGTGTTTACTAGGGAATCCCCGTGTATAATTATATTTATCACGGCGTGATTTTTTTTTTTCAATGGAATTAGTAATCTTTCTTGAATTGCTATATATATATATATATTTTTATCCGTAACGACTTTTAAGTAAGAAAAACTTAAAATATCCAATTAAAAAAAAAAGAGAAAAACTTAAAATAATATACGAAGTAAAAGAGAAGGAATGTTTATTTTTGATTAGGATCTACTAATTTACTAGCAACCATTTATCCTATTTTGGTGTTTACAAACCACATTTTATAGATTCAATTTAAAATAATCGTATTGTACATCCATACATAATAAACCCTTACATGCTGTGGAGTTATGGTTTTAAAATGACGTCATCCTTTTATGTGTTTAAGTGATCATTATATAAAGGGTATTTTTAATTATTAAAATTCTAACTCCCTCCATTAATATTTCTACTTTGATAATCTCCATTATATTAAAAGATTCTGTAAATATTATACTCCCTTCGTTAAATATTATCTGCAACTTTTGCCATTTCGGGATGATCAGGGTTATGTGCAACTCTCTGTTTTCTTTCTATTTTTAGTAAACAAAAACCCTAGAAATTACATATTTACCCCTTACTTAAAAATTTTGATTTTCTTAATTTTACCCTTATTTTATTTTAATCACAATAACCTTTTTAATCTAATCTAAAATCATTAACCTAATTCTACCCACCCCATTTACTCATCTCCTAGTCTACCCACCACCCATTCATCTCTTTCTTCAACCTCTCTTCATCACCTTCACCCTCTTCATCTCTTTCACCTTCACAGTCACGACCACCGCCCCTCCCACCACCATTCTCTCTCCTCCTTCACAGTCACGACCATCATATCGCCCCTCCCACCACCATTCTCTCTCCTCCTTCACAGTCACGATCACCGCCCCTCCCACCACCATTCTCTCTCCTCCTTCACGACCACCAACCCTCCCACCACCATTCTCTCTCCTCCTTCAACGCCGATAGAAGGTACATTAGGAGGAATAAGCATCAAGAGAAATCTGCAAATGGCGTAAGCAAACAGAAGCACTAACAATGGCCACCAAAATGCCATTGATTACAACTTCACTGGAAATGGCAATTTGAAAGTGGAAACCTAAAGTAGAAAGAAGAAGAAGAAAATGATCATCGATTTTGGATCCTGAATCAGTTTGTTGTTCAAGAATAGTAGATTACAAACATGCTTAAGAGTAATCATCGTTTTTCGTTTTTTTTGGGTGATTTATGTTCGAAATTTCTGGATTTTTTTTCGATTTTCTGAGTTTCGATTTTCTGGATTTTGATTTCGATTTTCTGAGTTTTGATTTTCTAGGTTTTGATTTCGTATTTTTGGGTTTTGATTTTGATTTTCTGGGTTTTGATTTTCAAGGTTTTGATTTCGATTTTATGGGTATTGATTTCGATTTTCTGAGTTGCTGTTCTTCGTCTAATTTTCTGGGTTTCTACGGTGGTGGGTGGGTATAGGGGGTGGGTGGGGTGGTGGGTGGGTTAGGATTAAGGGGTTTTCTACGGTGGTGGGTGGGTCTGGGTACATGGGTGGTGGGGTGGTCTAAGTTAGGGTTGGGTCTTGGTGGCGTGGGTGGTGGGGTGTTCTGAGTTAGAGGTGGGTCTAGGTGGTGGGGTGGTCTGGGTTAGAGGTGGTCTGGGTGGTGGGGTGGTCTCGGTTAGAGGTGGGTCTGGGTGGAGGGGTGGTCTGGGTTGGAGGTGGTTAGGGCTGGTGGTGGAGGGGAAGGTTAGATTTCTGGGTTTTTAGGTTAGGGAGGTTGCTTCCGGAAAAAGGAGGGAAGGCAATGTTGGTAGTGGTGGTGGTGAAGGCCGCGGTGGTGTTGGTGAAAGCGGTGTTAGCTGGTATTCGCCACTTAATTACATTCTCTCTCTACCTTAATTACATGCTACAAGTTACTTAACTTTCTCTAATTTTTGCCCTTTAAATTTTGCGTTGGCAACCGCGAATTGTACTTTTGTTGCAGATAATAGTTAACGGAGAGAGTAGAAAGAGTAGATTGAATTATTAGAAGTATATGAGTGAAATTTACAAAACAAAAGTTAATAGAGATGAAGTATACATACATAGCCACAAGATCACTAAGCTAACGTGGGGTAGTAGTATCTGTTTAACATGCTTAGTTGGAGGAATCTTAATGATTGATAAGGGCATGTGCAATTCTAATAATCTGTACTTGTTGTCCTATTTTTTTTTTTTTTTAATTCTATTCCAAATGAACAATTATAATAGCTGAAGTAATTGACAATATAAGTAATAATTATTCATGGCCCTAAACTTAATAATTTGTGTTGTAATTTTAAACTCTAGTCTTTCAAATGTCGCTAATATTGCAAGTTGCAATTAGCAAAGAATTTCAAAACCACCATTAAGTTAAAGAAAAAATATGGATGTGCTCAAAGTTGAAAATTTGGAATCATTAGTTTTATTACTTTGGCTATTATATTAAGCAATTTTGTAGTCTAAGTTTGTACTTTGTACTTTTACATCACGTTTGATAATTGGTTATAAATTTGAGAATATTAATGAAATTTAAATGTAATTTGCAAAGAAGAATATTAATGGATTTAAAAAAAAAAAAAACCAATTACGTACGGAAAAGAAGAATCACTACACTATTATTGAACCTAATAATCAGTCTAAATTTCAACAATATTATTCTATATATCTCTATTATATAAGCCAAGGGAGGAGGTTGTGGTGTCCACCAAAAGGCCTTAATACCCTTTCGGCTTATACGACAATATAACATAAAAAAGAGCAAAAAAAAAAAAAAAAAATCTACCTCATCATCTTCTATTATAATTAACTTTCTACATCAAATACTCTGTAATTTTATAATAAATTTCCAATAAGTAATTTTAACAAATCAATCCTGTTTCGGGGTTTTTGGAGTCCCTCGGGAGAGTTACAATTCCAAGAATGCGCGTCGATCGTCTGTACCTGCAAAACCACGGAAACTCCGGTTGGGTGGAGTTCCGCCTCCGACGATCAAGTTAGAACGTGTCCGAATGTATAAAAGTGTGGAATGTAAAGGTTTTTCTCTTGGATTCCGAGAGAATTCTGCAATTAATATTGCTCGGGTTTTGTGTGTATATTTATTAATGTGCAATAAATGAGGATTTTCCTCTATTTATAGTGAGAGGGGATTAGTTTCCCTTTCATAGGTTAGAGTGCCACGTGTCGCCAGAGGATCTGATGCTGACACGTGTCAACACGTGATTTGGCCACGTGAGCAGGGTATTTTTACCCTAAACATTTGCCCCTCACAGGTGTCATGCTCTGAGAAGGTGACGTTTCGTCTCCTTCTCTCTCTCTTTTTTTTTTTTTTTTGAATTCGAATTTTGAATTCGCCTTCTGGGGTTGTCCATAAGTAGAGACCCTTTCCTCTCATTTTCACACTTTGCAAATTTTTGTTGAGAAAATTCTGAGAGAGAGCTTTGATACCAGCTGGTAGTTCTTGCGCAACCGTCTTCCTTTTCCTCACTCAACCGGTCACCGTATGAGTGCTCTTCATTCAAAACTTGCTAAAACCACCTGAGGGTCTTTTGTCATCCCCCTATCTTTCAATACAAATCGTCTGGGGGTCTTTGGACTGGTTCCCTTTGCTTTCAATTCACCCACAACCGGCCAACCGTCTGGGGTATCATCAAGCAACACTTCAAAGGAACGGTTGGGTTGTTCAACAATTTTCAATTGCTCTTGAAAAGGGCACATCCCGGCAACCATCTAGGTATCTTGCAAGCAACATAGAGATTTCCGGCTGTTGATCCGGATAGCATACTTTCTCCACACTCAAAGCATCTTCAAGGTACCGTCTCTACCCCTTGCAACTTTTTTGAGTTTTTCCGGTTGTATAACTTGTAAAGAATAATGGATTCACCCAACACACACACGGCATAGCCTAGGACAGTTGTTAGCCGGTCACCGGATACTGTTGAGTCTAGGACTAGGGATGCCGTTTGGGGGTGTTTGGACCACCCTTACTCTTCTGCGAATCCGACTGTCTCTGTTCATGTGCAGGATAGAATGGCTCGGACGAGACGAACGGCTGTAGACCCTGAATACCAGTCAGACGGCTCAGCCGAAGCTCTGGATGACATTGTACATTACGACCATCCGGGTGTACCTAGCACGCCCAGTGATGATATCTTGGAAAAGTCCGAGGGTGCAGGCGGTGAAGAGACCGTCCAACAATCAGACTCTTTAGAGTCTACCATGGAACCGGATGCCCCCCCAAGAGGATGAAGAGGCATATAAATGGCCCTCCATCAATAATCCAACAGAGGCGCACATGACTTCTAGGGATGTGGTCACTCTAAACGCCACCTTACCTGGATTTTTATAGAAGCACCCGGTTGGGCAAGGATGGGAAATTGTGGTGCCACATATAGAGGCAACCGTCGTCTGGGATGACGACCTTGTTCATACCGATGACTATTTTGGCTGTTATGAGGCGGCATTCAAAGCCAGCCTCCGGTTCCCCCTCCATAATACAATAAAAGCCATTATAAGAGGCTACGACCTTGGCGTTTGGCAGTTAACACCCAATTCTTGGGTGAACATATTAGGATACATTGCCGCCTGCGAGATGCAGAACATAACGCCTAGCTGGGAGGTGTTTGCACATATGCACTACCTCAGCCGTGCCCCAAGCGGTTGGAATGCGTGGTATACATTGACCACGCATCCGGAATATATGACGACGCTTGACAAGCCGTCAAAGTGGAGCAGCTGGAAGAGCAAGTTTTGCTTGGTTTCTTCCCCATCGTTGCGTTTAAACCACTGGCTGCGTCACTACAATACGCACCGACTCTCCTTGGAAAGAAATGCGCCCTTCCTAGAGTACCGGAAGAGGCTTGGACGCAAATAATGGAGACGGGGCTCTTCAAGAAGACCTCCCTGCCTTTGGATGATGGGACTGAAGTCATTGTCCCCAAGAACTAGGTCCCTCATCCGGACTGGATAAAGGACAAGGCGTTCCTTTCTGCTTGTGGCCTTAGCACAATGTTTAGCAGACGTATGTTGACTGATAACCGGCACTTTAT